GGTGGGAGGGCGGGCATTTGTGAGCCTCCAGACTTTCAGGGCTAAACTCAGGATCGGGAGCCCCCTCTGGGCTGGACACGGGAACCGGAGCCCTCTCCGGGCAGGACGTGGGAACCGCAGCCCACTCAATTAAGTCCTTTTCCGTGTCTCCTCTGTCCAGGTCCATCATAAGCTCACCCTCAGCCGCGGTGCAGGGGATGGAGCTCCACTCCACGTTCTCACCGTCCACAGCTTGCTCCCTCGTGGCGGGCATGGTCGCCGGCTCTCGTACCTGCTCGGACGGACTGGGCATTTCATCTGGGGCAATCCTCCGCTCAGTCGCTCTGTAATGCGCTGACTCGTTGATCGCAGCGGGAACTGGCTCTCCATCCTCGGTGGGTTCGGGCTTGCGCTCCGCGCAGCAGGGAGTTGGTTGGCTGGGCTCTGGGTCTGGAGTGGCACTGGCGAGATCCCCCTCGGGACAGGCAGTGAACGGGGATCTGAGTCTTGCCAATGTCCACTCCACAAAGGCGGGGAAACTCGCTCGAGGGCCTTCCTCGGACGACGGCGCTCTGTATGCCGAGTTTAGGCTGGCATCATAGAACGCACAGAGCGCGTCATCCGGGTAGCTGGAGAGGTTGGCAAGGACCAGGAATAGTTTGTTGTGACCCTCAAGCGATCTCTCCCCCTGCTCCAGCAGGAGGAGGAAGGATTCCGGGCGGGTGAAGGGATCCATACACGGAACACAACGGAAAAAAAAACACTAAGGGAAAAAGGACGGAAACAAAAATGAAGGGTAGACACTCGGAGATAACGGTTTTGGTCTGGTCTTCTGTCATGATTCGCTGTGGGAGGAACGATGGAGACGCGGAGAAATGTTCAACAGTCTTTAATACTTGAATCACAAGGGATAATTCACAACAGGAACACGGGAAACACACGACATCCAACAAGTAGACCAGACAAGCACAAACTGAACAGACTGGGACTTTTAAACACAGGGCAATCAGGGGAACACAGGTGCATGAAATAAGTTAATTAACTGGGACACGGAACACATGGGGAGGGAAAACACAACAAAACCAGTCCAGGGGCGTGACAATATACATATACTGTACATATATATGCGAACGTATATATATATATGGAGAAATACTGATATCTGTACACATTTACTTTATATTTCTTTAGACATAATCATAATTTCAATTCATTTTCCACTGAATAATTAAATCTGATGAACATTAGCAGCTTCCAGCGCTGTCTGCTTGTGTTTTCTCTTCTGTGACGCTGTTCTGACTCAGAGGAAGCTCATTCGCTGCTCATTTGTCTCATATTATGCGTTCATAACTCTTCCAATGACGAGCTTCCCTTACAGATCCATGTTCTGTTCCATACATTAGAAACCCAGCGAAATGTTTCTACAAACATGAAGCTAATAAGCATGATAGTATATGATTTGTATGTGATTTTCATGAGATTTGGAGATTTTCATAACAATAAAGGATGTTTCATTTAAGAAATGTTAAGCAGGTGTACTGATTAGCTTTGGTATAAAAGGCTACAAATTTAAATAAATATCATGTATTTCAACAATATTATATGACCAAAAGTCACATCACAGTCGGAAGTTATTACAAATGCTCAATGGTGGTTTAAAGTGAGTTTTAAGAAAAATGCATAGTGTAAATCTTATAAATTGTCTTAAAGCATATGATGCTAATTGTAGCTCTAATGCACCTGTTACCCTGATGCGATTATACTTTATAATTTATGATTATAATGTATATTGGGATCAAAGCGATATGGGCTAGGAGACCATTGGACTATAAGCAGTGGATAAAAAGGTTTTATAAAATGAAAATAAGAGGCTGAAATGTTCTGCATTGGTTATGCACTGTATAGATGAAAACAATGACTTTAATGCAATGTTTAAAGACTTTATGTTTATGTTCAGCTACACTACAAAAGGGTTGTTGTATTTAATTAATTAAATGTTCAACAGGTTAGCTGTTTGTAGAATATGCTTTAATTTGATAATTGTCATTTCCTTCAATCACCTAATTATTTGAACACCTAAAATAAATTGCTTTTAAAAGTGCCCATGATCAGGATGATATCACCTCCTCCTTATTTTGTGTGTGTATGTATTGTATGGGCATGTGTGTGTGTATCTATGTGTCTGTGTCAGTATGAATATTTGGTAAAAATGTAAAATATATTGTTTTTTTACAGTCAGTAATTTTATATTGTACATATTTTTTACAATAAAAATAAATTTTTGTACATATTGTTTTATGTTGTATTGTTTTTGATTTGATTACATCATTTGTGGTGCATCATGGGAGCAGTTCATTCATTCATAAAACAATATAAGTACACAGTCTTGTACTTTTGTTGTTCTCTATTTGTCAACATACATAGGACTGCTGGGCTACATCATGTCAAAAAAGTAATTTCACATTTAATTTCAAAGTTTTAGAACAGATTCCATGTGGGCCTGAATATACAGGTGCATCTCTATAAATTAGAATGTCGTGGAAAAGTTCATTTATTTCAGTAATTCAACTCAAATTGTGAAACTCGTGTATTAAATAAATTCAATGCACACAGACTGAAGTAGTTTAAGTCTTTGGTTCTTTTAATTGTGATGATTTTGGCTCACATTTAACAAAAACCCACCAATTCACTATCTAAACAAATTAGAATACTTCATAAGACCAAAA